CCGAGGCGTCCCTCCTGGCGCGCTCCCGGGGCAGCGCGGAGGCAGCCCGTTCCCGGGCACCGGCTTCGGGGGTGGGGAGAGGGGCGGGAGGCAGAGAAGGCACGCCTGGGGGGGTCGCGGCGGGGGCTCGAGCGCGCAGAGCTTTCTCCGTCCGCTCCGAGCAGGCGGCTCCGAGGGACAGCCCCGTGCCGGCCCCAGCGCCCCTCGCCGCCAGCCCGCCCCCGCCCCCCGCTCTAGCCTCTCCCTGCGGGCTGCGATCCCGAGAGGGAAAGCGGGAGAACAACTCCCCCTCCTGCTGGTCAGCGCGGTAGCTGCAGCATTGCACGCCCCTCGGGGCGGGGTTCTCACGGAGAAGGGAGAGCCCCCCCAGCACGCAGCCCTGCCCCGCTCCGGCCCAGCCGCTGCTCTGGGACCTGCTGCCCAAATCAGTTGCCAGGGGCCGGGACCAGCGGCTGCGCCCAGACTTGCTGTGGGGGCGGGGGGGCAGCAAGGTCTTGGCCGATTGCAGGCTGGGCTCCAGGGCTCGCCACCCGCGGAGGGGCCTATGCCCGCCGCAGCAATGCCAGCAGGCACTTCCAGCCCTGCAGGGGAGCGTTGGCAGGGCAGCAGTGCGTAGTGGGCTGCCTCCCTGAAACGGAGCCGGCCAGGTGGGCTCAGCTCCCCCGCCTATTCCCAGCCCCATCCCAAGGCCGCTTTCCTGGGCAGCTCATGCCAGGCCAGCGGCCCGTGTGGCGAGTCTGGATTTACTGCTGAGCTGCTTTGCCATTCGAATGCCTGCAGGGGCCCTGTTGGGGTGGCATACAGTCCCCTTCCCTGTTAGCCACTGTGAAAGATGTGGCATTGTCAGCAAGCGCAGCCGCCCCACTGCTCCGCCACCGCCGCAGCTGCAAAAGCTAAGGGGCACCGGGCGCAGCGCGGTTCTTTGGGGGCCCGCTGTTCCAGGCCACATGGCTTGCTCGGGAGCTGCTGCTTTGCCCTTTGTGACCCCCGGCACTGCCCCTGCCTTGGGGCAAGCGGCAGGGGCTGGCTGTGTGGGAGAGCCGATGCTGCCAGGCCTGGGCGGACCGGGGCCTTTGCCATGGCGCAGCGGACGAGGCCGAGGCAAGCCCACTGCCCTCTCTCCCTCGCAGTGCCGAGTGGCTGCACCATGGAGGTGATGACCCCGCCGACCATGTACGCCCTGAACGGCTCCTCCATCCGCCTCAGTTGCACGTTCAGCTCCTGCTACCAGGTGGAGAAGAAGCAGTTCTCCCTCAACTGGACCTACCAGAGGTGTGACAACTGCTCAGAGGAGACCGTGAGTGTCTGGTGTACATGCCCGCCCCCCCCCCGGTGCAGGTCTGGGCATGGGGGCCGCTTGTGCTGGCACATGAAGCCAGCGGGGAAGCCACAGCCTCCCCGGTGGAAGCCTCTTTGGCCTGCCCTGGGGTACGCAGGCCCTGCCGGCTACCAAGGGGAGGAAGGCCGCAGAACCGTGAGGCCCCAGAAGACCAGAACGGTGCCGCCTCTGCCGCCCAGCAGTAGCTTGACACCCCGCCCCCGGAAGTCCTTCCCAGTGGACACGCACTCTTGCGGTGCCCCAGGGGGGCCCTTGTCATTCCCTTCTCCAGTTCCTGCAGTTCAAACTGAGGATTGTGCCCACGGAGCTGAGCCGCTTCGGGGACCGCGTGGAGTTCACGGGGAACCCCACCAAGAACGACGTCTCCTTCACCCTCCACGACGTGCAGCTGGATGATGAGGGCATGTACCACTGCTACGTGATGAACCCGCCTGACCGGCAGAAGGGCCACAGCAAGATCAGCCTCAAGGTCATTACGCAAGGTCAGTGCCCAGGCCGGGGGCCCCTCCAGAAGCCCCCCCACCACCCAGCAACGCTCCAGTCCAGACCTCAGGCACCCGCTTCCACTGGGCCGCGGTGCTGGCCCGCGGAAGGTCTTCCCCAGCCGCCTCCCCTCCCGGTCCCGCCTCTGGCAGGCCTCACCCCTCTGCTCCAGACCCACTCGGGGCCCTCGCCTTGCAGAAGGGAAGGGGCCTCCCGCTGCCCCCCCTGCAGGCACCCCCAACCCTCCCGACCATGTCTTCGCAGAGCTCCCGGAGCGCGACTCCACCGTGGCAGTGATCGTGGGCGCCACAGTGGGCGGCTTCCTGGCAGTGGTGATCCTGGTGCTCGTCATCGTCAAGTGTGTGCGGCGCAAGAAACAGCAGCGACTGAACACGGACGACCAGAAGACGGAGGAGGAGGGCAAGACGGATGGAGAAGGCAACCCTGAGGAAGGCACCAAGTAGTGCGGCTCCCTTCCCGGGCCGGCCCCCCCGTGCTCTCTCTGAAGTTAGGCTCTCCACCCACAGTGTCGGACCCCCAGGACCCCCACTGCCCCGCCTCCCCCTCCCCTGCCCCTGACATTGTGCTGCTGAGCTGCAGGAGCACCCCCAAGCCCAGAGCCCAGGGCCAGGGTGCCCCTGCCCGTTGCTGCATGCCTGGCTGTGACTGGAGCCGGGCAGGAGGCCCTGCCGTGCGTGGGGCTCCCGACAAGCAGGCCCCCTGCTCCCGGGCTCCCGTGCGTGGGGCTCCCGGGCAGGGCTGTGCCCAAGCAGGGAGCCCAGCCACAAGGCTGGGGAGGGGCTCCTCCAGTGCCCGGGGTGCGAGCGTGCCAAGAAGAGGAGCAGCCCTGGGTCTGGGGGGGAAGCATCAGCGTTTGGGAGAAGACAGAGGGGGTGGGCGGGCTTTCCTCTCTGCGGCAGAAAGGGGCACTTTTTGTCTGCCCCCTCCAGAAGTCAAGCACAACCCACAACTGCCAAGACAACTCACTGCCAGGAGGGTGGGTGGGGCACCGAATGGTCCCCCCAGCAGGGCGCCCCGTGTCTCCCGCCCAGCTCCAGGCGTTTGCCGACTCGCACCCAGCGCGGCTGGATTGGAAGGTGCTTCTTCCCCCTCTCGCCCCACCCATTACCCAACGTGTTGCTGCTCCCCACCCCTGGCAGAGCTGGAGGCCCTTTTGCAGTCCGGGAGGAAGGCGGCGTCCTTGTGTCCTGGGCGAGTCCCCATGTTCCTGGGCAGGGTCAGTGCTGAGGGCCCTCGGGGTGGACTGGAGGGCAAGGGCAAGGGTGCTCCCAGCTCCTGGCCCTCCGCCTGCACTCGGCTCTCCACGGAAGGGCCCCTCGCCTCTGCCACCACTTGGTCTTCCCCATCAGAGCACAGGAACCCGGCCGGACGCTGGCCAAAGGTCTCTGGGGCTGCAGGCGGGGCACGTCTGGGTCGGGCCCCCTTGGCTCTTCCTCGCTTCGGAAGGCCAGGTCCCAGCCCTTCTCATCCTCCTGGCAGTCGGTCCCTGCAGGGCTCGCGGACTGGCAAGGGTCCCTGAATCCAGGGCCAGGCACCTCCCTCCCTTTCTGTCCAGGTGGCCAGCTGGATCACTGGCCCGGGGCTGCCCCCTGCTGGTCCTCCTGCACGTGGGGCCAATCCTGGAAGCAAAAGGAGTTGAGGCAAAGCTCTCCCCAGGCTCACAGCTCTCCACCCTGGTGGCTAGGCATGCCCCCCCCGCCCCCGCACAACTCCTTGCCGCTGCCCTTGATTTGCCAAGCAGCCCTGCAACAACCCCCATCTCTGCCTATGGGGCCAGCCTGCCGGTCGCGTCCCCAGATGGCTCCCCCCTGGAGGAGAACAGGAAGGAGCGTTTCTTCTGGTTCTTGGAAGTCGCCCTGCGGGCCGGGCAAGGGGCTGCCCATGGGCCCCGCTTACCCAGGCCTGGCTTGTGCTGTCCCTGCCTCCGTCCCCAGAGTTGCACTTTACTGCCTGCTGGCTCGGCCGCCACCTCCGGGCTCGCCCTGCTGCTCAGCCCTCAGCTCGATGGTGTGAGCCATCCTCCTGCTCTGTCTGTTTCGCCAGATTTGCAGTTTGATTTGCACCAAAGCCTCGATATGGAATGGTTTTATCGCTCACTGTGCATATACAGGAAACAATTTCATAACTCGCAACCTGCACTGACTGGTTTTTGTGTTGCAATGTATTAGGAATGATTTCCCAGCCTGGGTCTGTCCAGGTGGATCAAGGGGTTGCGTGAAATAAAACAGAACACGCTTCTCAGAACCAGTGCGATGTCCTTTCTTTCACTGGGGGGGGGGACAAGGGGGGCAATGTATCCCTCCCATGGACCGGCAGGCTGGCATATGCCAGGGCACCCACGGTCTTCCAACCTCTAACCTGTTCAGTGGCCAGTCCTGGGGGCCAGCTGTCCTACTGCTCCCCACAAAGAGGTAAGGGCAGCTGGAGGCCTAACTTTTGAAGCATATGAAATTATAAAGAGCCAAGTGCACCTGAACATGTGCAGAGTGCCTTTCCCTTGTCTGAACCATCCCAGTCTGTTCTGCCCAGTTAAGAACTGTTCTGGGTTTTGCTGATGCTTGAGGGCTCCAGGCAGAGCCCTGGTGGCCTTTCGGCTCCCTCCTGTTCCTCTCCAGTCAAAGCAGCCGCAGGCAGCCAGCAGAAGCTTCCCTCGCGGGCAGCAGAGGCCATGGTGAAGGGCCCGAGGATGCAGCTGGGGCAGCGAGGGGTGACAGCCGGGGAGCGGGCCCTGCCCTACTGAGAGCAGCCCCTGCTTGGCTCGGCTCAGCTCCGTGGAGGCCACTGGAACGGTCTTAGTGCCTCGAGCAATCTTGGGCAAAGACCTCGGAGGGCAGAGTGCGGAAGTGGGGGGTGCTGGGGGGGGGGACTGGGGTGGTCCCCGCGGGCGGGATGTCAGGCTAGGTTGCTACTTCCATGCTTGTGAAGTGATTGGAAACTGAAGAAAGAGAGGAGGCAGCAGCACCCGAGTGAGGGGAGGGGAGGGGAGGGGAGGGGAGCGCCTGCTTGCGGGGCTCTGAGGACAGAGGAGGGCCCCGTGGGCAGCCGCGGGTCGGCTCCCAGCAGTCTGCTCCCGCCGCCCGCCGTCCCCTGCTCGGCTGCCTGCCCGTCCTGGCTCGCGGCCGGGGGTGGCCTTCACTCTTCCCCCCTATAGCCACCTATACGTTACCCTATAGCAGGGGTAAAGAAGGGACCCGCCACGCTAACCTGGCCCGGCTCCCTTCTCCGTCCACCTTCTTTCCGCCCGACAGCCGTCCTTCCAGAGCAGCAGCTCCGGACACCCTCGAGGCCACGCCGAGCGCCTCGCCGAGGCTGCCGCCGCCGCCACCTTCTCCGACCTGGCCGGCGACTCCGGCGAGCCGCGGACGAGGGGCGCGCACGGGAGCCGCTTCCTGCTTCGGAGCGAGGCCGGGCTGCAAGGCGACTCCGCTCTGGACCGCGCCCCCTCCAGCGCCTCTCCGGGCGGGCCGCCCGGGCGAGGCGGCGCCTCCGGGCCGGGACTCTCCGCCGGGACCTCGCGCCGGCCAGGCGATCCGACGGGCAGCGACGCCCCGCACCGGGCACCGTCCTGACGGCCGCGCTTCTGATGCCCTGGAAGGGCAGGGCGCGCTCGGCTCCCGGGAGGCGGCGGAGCCGGGCCGGCCGGAGCGCCGCAGGCAGCGGGTCGAGCGCGGCACTCGCCGCCGCCGCCCCTGAGCCGAGCGGCTCCCTGCCTCCGCCGGCCAGCCCCTCGCCCCGCTCCCCGCGACGGCCGGCAGGGCGCCTTCCCCGCGCCGAACTTTCTCCGCCGCGCCGTCCGGACGGAGGAGCTGCGCGGCGCGCGCGCGCGGAAGGGGGCGCGGCCGGGGAGCGGGAAGGGCCCTCCGCCGGAGTCCCGGCTGCCTCTCCGGACCCGCTCCCGCCGCGCCCTCCCGCGCGGCCTTTTCTGCCTCATCAGCAGGCCGAGGAACGGCCCGGCCGGGCTCCGCAGCGTGGCCAGCTGGCGAGGCCTCCCGCCGCGGCGGCGCTCCCTCCTCTCCGGCGGCGCTCCCGCTCTTAATCGGCCCCGCTCGCCGGGACAGGAGCCGGCTTCGCCCCGCAGCCCAGCCCGGAGGAGGCTGGCCGCGGTCTTTCCGCTGAGCCCGCCCTGCGCTCCAGGAGCTCGTAAGTGCGCGGCGCGGCAAGGTCGCCAAGCCCCCTCGCTCGGAGCGGAGCAGGCCGGGGGCTTCTCTTCTTGCTCCAAGGAACCTCGCGCCTCTCCCCGGCTGATCGTCCTGCCTGCGGTCTGTCTTCCCAAGGGAGGAAGGCTGGTTGAGCTTTCCAGCTGGGGAGAAGTACTCTGCTCATGGCCAGAGGCACTTCATTTGCTGGAGCCAGTCACAGCTCTGATCGGAGGGTCTGGCTCGAATCGACTGGTGTGGTTTGTTCGATGGCTTCTGTCTCAGGGAAAGAGAGGCGTGAGTTTGGGAGACGGAAGGAGGGCATCGAGGGGTGGTGCCGACCCAGCGCTCGCCTCGCCTCTTCGGAGCTTTCCCTCCGCGGTCTCGCTGCTTGAGGGCATGAGAAAGTGGAGCTGCGCTGGTGCTGAAGCGCCCAGAATCCTCTGGGGGCCAGGAGCATCTCTTGCATGGCGGGAGGGGAGGGTGCTGGGGAGCCAGACCTGCTCCTCCTGCCTCTGAGCGCGCAGCCAGGCTTCTCGGGGCCTCTGAGCAACTCCTTCAAGCCAGCAGTGCCCCCCACCCCCCAGCCACACCACCATTGCCCAGGGCTGCAGCCATGCCGGGGTGCGACCCCTTCGTCCTCGGTGCTCACAGCCCACAGTGGCCGGGACCCTGCTTGGACAGCTTGTGTCATCCTTGTCTGCTGGGGAGGGATGGCCCCGTGTTGCCTGCCCCGTGTTGTGTGTGTGTGTGTGTGTGTGGGGGGGGCAATTCTGGCCTAGAGGCGGCTCAGAACCAAGGGCAGGCAAGGGAAAGGAACACCCCCAATTGACTTTCTTCCAGCCCCCGCAGGAGGTCTCCTCGCCAGCTCCACTCCTGTTCCCGCAGGAAGGAGCCCCAATCTCTGGTTTCATGCCACATTGGGAAGGTGACACCGGCCTGCAGCAGCTGAAAGCAGCCGGTCCGGAGAGGCTTGGCTTTTCCTGGAATCAAGCCCCTTCCTTGTGCAGGGCTCAGCAGAAAGGAGTCGTTCAGCCTCTCCTGGGAAGTGACCGGAAGGGGGGCAGAGTTGGTCAGCCCTGCAAAACCCTCTTGAGCCCACGGAGGGCCCTAATCGTGGTGTGCTTGGTGGGGGCTTGGCTGAGTCAGGATATCGCCCTGTGCAAGGGCCTGGGGCCTTTGTGAAGGGGGTCTCTTTCCTCCCAGCACCGAGCGTTAATATTCTTTTGACCTGGAGCCCTGCCCAGGGACATGTAAGATAGGGCTGGGGACATCAACTGGCCAGGACCCAGGCCAGGCCACAGCTACTGGGGAGCAGGCAAGGGCCTGTCCAGGCTGCCCCTTCAGGGAGCCTGGCTCCTTGCCACTGCTGTCCCTAGCTGATCTCTCCCCCCCCCCACACACACACACACCAGCTTACTCAGCAAGCAGAGCACCCACGAGGAAGTTGGCGTGCTGCCCCCTCCTGCTCTGGCATCATGGCTGCCACCTGGGCCAGCGCAACAGGGAGGGGGGCAAGCGGGCAGCAGGAGGAGTGAGCCCACGAAGCTGCCGACGGAGTGTGGGCTCTTGGGGGTGCCCCACCACGCCTGCCCTGGGTGCCAGCCTTGTGAGCGCCCCTGGGATTCTGTGATCTCCATTCCTGTGGAGGACATTGCCGAGTCAGCACTTCCTCAGCACCTGCCTGGCCCGCTTCTATTTTTGTGCCTCGTCCTCACTCAGAGGCGGCACGTGGAGGGCACCCTGCCCGGTGTCCTGCTTCCGTCCCCGCACCTGGCACCCGTGAGGCATGCCCAGCCCATCCTGCCTCCACCAGGGCCACGGGCCGATTTCCAAAGAGGACAAGGGCAGAGGAACCCCCTCCTAGAGGGTCTCAGCATGGGTATCCCAGTATATTTGAACCTCATGGCACATCCTGGGGGCGGGTCCCCTGTCCTCCTGTCCTCCGTGGAGGACCACCTCCACCAAGCTCCAAGTCCTCCTGTCCATTCATTGCCGCTAGATGCTGTGACAATTGCAGATTTATTTCCATGCAGACCGGGAGAGATGGTTGTGACCCGGCCACAGACGGGCTGGTGTGTGTGTGTGTGTGTGTGTGTGTGTGTGTGTCCTGCTGTCATGCTCAGAAGCCTCCTCTGCTCAGGAGGGCCACTCCTGCAGCCCGCATGCTCGGCATGGCAGATCCTTGAGCTAGCCTGGCACTGTGGATTGCTTTTGACTGTTACAGGAGTTGGAGATTTTTAACAGCTTATTTTACACATGACTTTTAATATGTACATGTACACAGTTTAGAGATGTTCTATGAAGTGGCACATAAATACAATCAATAAACACAAATATTTTTATTAAATAAATAAAACCGTCCTTGTGCATCTCTACAGTCCATACTACAGAGGATACAAAAGCCAAGTTGGCGCATGCAAAGAAAGCGAAGCTGCAGGCCCAGAGGATCTGCTGAAGGGGACCAGATGCTGCCCATTCCTCTCTGCAGCAGAGCGAGTCTGGGTCAGGCCAGTGCCTGGGCGGGAGGCCACGCAGGCCCTGACGGTAACCGGGGCCCTGCTGCTTTGACAGCAAGGCTCTCCTGGGTGTCGCTGCCAGCTCCCTCCACTTCCAGCTCAGCTGTCGTCCAGGAGGGGCCTCCTTCCCTCGCACAACGCCGGGCTCTTGCAGGCCCCGAAGCGTGCCTAGGCAGAACACAGGACCTGCCGTGGGGCAGTCGGGCCCAATGAGCTCCCCCCACCCCCTGGCCAAGTCACCTGGGGGCAGAAGAGCAGCCAGGGGCTGGCTACATCTTGCTGACGCCGGCCTCTTTGCCCTGGAGTCCCCCGTGCTGGCTGTCTGCAGTGGTAATCCTGCACCACTGGGATGGAAGCAGTCCCCCCCCCCCCCATGCAGAGCCAGAGTGCTTGCAGTGAGTTTTTGGCAATGTGACAACTCTTCATTTCACAGTGCAAACCCTGAGTCATGGTTCCTTGCAGGCTGCAGAGCTGCAGCAGCAGCAGCATCCCGGCCGCACTCAGCTCTTTCTGCCTGCCACCTCCGGCCAAAGATGCGCAGCCCGTGGACTCCCTCCCCAGGAACTGCCCTCTCCTGGTGGGGGACACAGTGGTGGAGGGGACGCAAAGATGCGAGGCAGCAGCCCCTCCCTCCCTCCCAGTGAGTGGCTCGGCTTGGTCTTTGAGTGCAGTGAGGCTTGTGAACCTTCAAGGCACAGAGGCTGAACCAAGCATTGGCCCAGCCCCATGCTGAAGGGGCCTGCAGGGCTCCAGAGGGCATGCCGGGCCCTCTGGCCCTCCCCTGACATCCTCTCTCCCAGACCGATCCAAGGGGGCTGGTGAATGCCTGGACGCTCTGCCCCCCATGTGCTTGGGGAGGCGGGATGGCCAGCTGCTCTGCTGCGAGGCTGGCTGCCCGCCGGGGCCAGGCTTGCAGGAATGGGCAGGTCGTGTGGGGCAACTCTGGGCCTGGGCAACTGGCACCGCCGCGAGCAGAGCCACTGCTTGGCATACCCGGGGCCCGGACTCGGTCTGCACCAGCCTCCGCAGCAGGGTGAGGAGAGGCCAATCGGAGCCGGATCGCCCAGAGCTGTTGGGCTCTGTGCAATGTGCTCCCCAGTCCCCCGCAGGCCTCAAAGACCTGCATGGACAGCCCGTCCTTCTCCTGGCACCAGGTCAATGGCCCACCTGGAGCAGAGCTTGCCAAGGCCAGCTGGGGTTGGGAGGTCCGGGTGGGCGATCCGGCCCCAGCTGCAGCCTCTGGAGGAGGACCCAGCCCCTGCCACCTGGGGTAACTGCGCCACCAGGACACTCCAGGGGTGTGCTGGGGTCCCTGAAACTGTGCCCCGTGAGCTGGGGTGCCGGCCCCGCACTCTGGACTGCGGCCCCACCCCTTCGCCACAGGGGGGATGAAACAGACCCAGGCTGGGGGCCGCCCGCATGGACTTCCTGTAGCCCCCGAGCAGAGGCCCCCCGACCCGTAGGCCATAGTACCCTTCCGTAGGGGGGGCTCGAGCCCCTGGACACCCGAGCCTCTGGCCGGTCTCCCCGGCTGCCTGGGCAGCCCCGCGCCTCCCCCCCCCCCCCGCTGCGGAGGCGGTCCCGCAACGCCCCGAAGCGCCAGCCCGCCCCCGCCCTCGCCGCCCCCGGCCGGGCCGCTGCTCGAGGGGGCGGGCCGCGGCGCAACTCTGGGAGCCGGGGGAGCGGAAGCTGGGGAGAGCGAGCGAGCGAGCGAGCGGGGGGCGGAGCGGCAAACTTTGGACGCCGCCGAACCTTGCTGCCCGGGACTGGCCGAGCCGAGGCGGCCATCGCGGCGCTGCAGCTGCGGAGCCATGGCCGCTGGCCTGCGAGCCGCCCTGCTGGGTAAGAGGCTGCACCGCCGCGGAGCTGCGCGCGGGACGCCGCGGCGGGGGTGGGGGGGCGCCGGTCCTGCTGCAGCCAGCCCTGCGCCGCGACGCGCCGGGCCGGGCGGGGAAGCGGGGGAGGCGAGGCGAGGCGAGGCGGCCGGCCCCGCTGCGGGCACAGGGCGGGCGGGCGGAGGCGCATCCATCCCCTCGGGCGGGAGCCCGGGCGGCATCGTCCCCGCCGGCTGCGCGCACCAAGCGCCGCGCTAGCTTTTAGGACAAGTCCGGCCGCGGAAGCGCGCCCGAGCCCCTTCCGACGGGCGGGTCTCCGGGCGGGGGGTCCTCGGCCAGCACTCTCGTCTCCAGCCCGCTCGGATCCGCGTGCGGCGGCGGCGCCCTGCGCCAAGCAGAGCCCGCTCCTGCTGCCGCCCGGCGGCTCCGGGCGCCTCGGGACGCGCGTGGTGGGGCGCAGGCGCGGCGCACGGGGAGGTGGGCTGCTCCTGGCTCTGCCGTGCGTGGCCCCTCTGCCCCCGGCCCCGCCCGCGGGGCGCTTGCGTGCGTGGAAGCCCCCCCCCCCCCGCTCCTCTTTCTCCTTCGGTCAGAAGTTTGAGTCCATGATGACAGAGTAGGCGATAAGAAAGAGTCCCGAGCTCCATTGCACGGCTTGGCGTGCGGTCGCTGCAGCCAGAGAGAACCGTTGCGCTGCAGCGGCCTCTTCAGGGTGAAAAGCGCTACCCCGTCTGGTGCCTGTGGAATCTGGTGGCGGGAGACTGCAGGTGAGGAGGCTCAGAGGGACCCATTTGCAGCCGCCCTGAGCAAGAAAGGAAGGAAGGAAGGACACGAGAGAAGAGGGGCTCTGGGAAAACTAGCGGCCTGTTTGCACCGGAGCATATTGTGGAGGAGTGAGGAAGGGTGCGAGCCCTGAAGGCTGTGGGGCTGCATCATGGATCTTCCGCCGCCCTCGTGAGGAGTCCTCCTCTCCTGCACTGCTGTGTCCAGGCCCAGAGGGGCTGTGCGTGCCCTCGGGGGTCCTGGGACTGGTCCAGGGCGGGCGCCGCCACCCGTGAGCACCCGGACTGGCTCTGGATCATGATCCGAGCCGCTCGGCCTGCGTTGCTCTCACCTCCTCTTCCATCGCTCTGCCCAGGCACAGTCGTGAACAGGGGCTCTTCTCTCTTCCTCAGGCCTCCAGATGTGTTCTGTGATGTTCGCCCTGGAAGTCTCAGTGGGCAAAGAGCCCGTTATCTTTGTACAGAACGGCACGGACGTCCTCCTGCCTTGCACCTTCACCTCCTGCATTGGCGTCACTGACGCCACCTTCTCCTGGCTCCGGAACCACACAGAGGTGCCCGTCCTGCAGCTGTGGGGGCTGGGTTGGCTGGCAGAGTTGGAGGACCTCCCAGAGGCGCCCCCCGCTTTCCTGGTGGCGGCTGGTGCTCCTGTTTCACGGTTCTGTGGCTAATTGCTGGGTGCCGGGAGGTGTTATCACGGCAGCGGTCAGTGGTCTGGAGCACCAGTGCCAGAGCAGGACTTTCCTCAGGCGCCTCCGCGCCCCCTTCCTCGCCTCAGCACTCCACGGCAGCCCCGCAGGACTCTGGCTGGCTGTTGCTGAGCTTTCAGCCATGCTTTGGAGACAGCGTGGGGCCCTTTACACCTGTTCCTCTGGCTGCGGCCACCCCCAGCCCAACCCGGTGCAGCTCCTCGGTCCTGGAGCATGCAGGCAGACAGCGTCCCCCCCCACACACACACACAGCTGAATCCGGGATCCTCTTCCAGGATTTGTGGCACAAGGACAAATGGCAGGAGGTTACACTCTCAGCCAGAGCGCTCTGGCCACCAGGCATAAATCGTGTCCGGAGAGGGAGCGGGGCTGATCCCGCAGCTTGCCTAGGAGAGCGGGGCCTGTGTAGGGAGGGAGAAACAGTGCTGGCGCTCAGAGATGAGGGCCTGCTCTACCCCGGGAGGTGCAGATGGGAGGGCCTCCCACGGCTTTGCTGCACCGAAAGTGGCTGGGTTGGCCTCCTCCCTCTGCCGGGGCCACCAGGGTGCTTCTGCCAGAGGCGGAGGCCTGCTCTGCACTGCCCTCTTTCCTGGGAGTTCTGCCCCGTGTGTGGGTGCGTGGCAGGCGGAGAGGCCCTCCTGGGCAGGACGCCTTGGTCACTGTGGTTTATCTCCCACAGATCTTCAAAGGAGTGGTAAAGAACAAGGACTCCAAGCCGGAGCCCGAGTCAAGCTACAGACACGGCATCAAGTACAGGCTGCCTTCCGATCTCGCCCCCAGCAAGGACAACAGGGAATTCAACATCTCCCTTGAGCTCCTGGATGCAGAATTCAGTGACTCTGGGAAATACACCTGCTTTGTCAAGAATCCAAAGGAAAAAAACGCCAATCACAGTGGCACCATCACTCTCAACGTGGTTGTGGAATGTGAGTGCATGAGAACAGGTGAAAAGCCCTGCCGGTCAGGCCAGCATCCCTCCGGTCCCGCACTTGGGATGCCCAGTGGCAGGCCGGCCGCTCCAGCCCCTCGGCAGCTGCTGCCTGCAGGCACAACACCTCTAGCAGAGGAGGCGGCACAGGGCCAGCAGGGCTAGTGGCCACGGGGTGCCTCCTCACGCAGGCATCTGCCCAGTCCCCTTTCAAAGCCATCCCGAGGGGTGGCCGTTGCCACTTCCCCTGCCAGCACATCCTCAGTTTGGTGACCTGCTGGGTGAAGGAGGCCTTCCTTTCACCTGTCCCAAACCTCCCACAAGCAGCTTCGTGGGACAACCCTTCCGGGTTGCCCTTTTTCTCCCTCTCCGCTTTCTCCACATGGTGCATTATTTTAAACGCATCTCCCTGCCTGCCTTTTTTCTAAGTGGCACGGTCCATTCGCTGCAGCTGCTCCTCAGAGGGGGCTGCGCCAGCCCCTCGATCCTTTTTGCCGCCCTGCTCTGAGCTTTCCCAGCTGAAGGGCACAGGCCGGGCAGAGCCACCCCATCCCCAGCCGCACCTCTGGCCTGGGGGGCAGCTGCCCAGGCCTGCACTTGAGAGGAGGCAGCAGGTGCCCAGTGCTCAGCGCTGCGCTGCTCGTCCTTCTGTCCATCTGTCTGCCCACCTGCGCTGTGCAATAGCCCACGTTCTTTGGTGGGGGCTTTGAAGCCCCTTGGCTGGCTTGCGGCGTGACCTGGGGGGGCACCGGTGGGGCTCTTGGGCCATGGCCCCTGCCCTCTGGCCCTCTCCCTCACCACCTTTTCTGCTCCCTGCAGTGGAGAAGGTCGACAACACGGTGACCCTGATCATCTTGGCCGTGGTGGGGGGAGTCATTGGGCTGCTCATCCTCATCATGGTGATCAAGAAGGCCACCCTCTTCATCCTCAAGAAGACGCGGCAGAAGAAGTGAGCGCGGTTCCTGGTCCCCCCCGCCCCCCTGCCGCATCCCTTTCACCGGCTGAGGGAGGGGGCCCTTCGCATCCCTAAGGGCCGGGCTGGGGCCACCCGTGGGTGTGCCAGAACATTCTTCCAGGCTTTCTTCCTTCCTGGTCGGCAGAAGGGGGGCCTTGGCTGCACCCACCGCCCCACCCCAGGCTCGCCCCTACATGGCTCTGGCCCCGGGCTGGCCGGATGGATGGGGCAGCCCCCGGGCCATCGTGTCCGTCCCCCACCCCCCCACCCGTGGCTACCTTTGCCTGCGGCGGGCTGGTCTGGGCAGGCGGGGCTGAGCGGGGACGGGCCGAGCCAGTCTCTTCTTTGCCACTGCAGGGAGTGCCTCGTGAGCTCCTCGGCGAATGACAACACGGAGAACGGGCTGGCTGGCTCCAAGGCGGAGCAGAAATCTGCCCCCAAAGCCTGAGGCCAGGGCCGGGGGGCCCAGCAGCCCACTGCCCCAGCCTCCTCAAGGCCCTGACGTCCAGGCCTGGGACCGAAGAGGCCGACCACCGCTGGACCCCAGCTGCTTGAGGCGCGACCGGCACTGCTTCTCACCAGGCTGCAGCGTGGGCAGGCCACCTGCTGGCCGGCACCTGCTGCCCACGCCTGGGGCCGCAGGGGTGGGGGCAGCAGGCTGCATGCCACAGCCACGCCAGCTGCGGGGGGTCCACGGCATTGGACACAGGGCTGCCGGGCAGGAGCGCCCTGGGGGGGGGCTGCCGGGCTGCGGTCCCTCGGGGAAGTGGGGCACCCGCCCTTCTGCCTGCTTGAGGAGCTGAACTTTCTCCTATTTTTTTGGTGATAGTTGTGTACCGCTTAGATATAGAAACAAGCAGAAGCCGCCACGACTCCCCCAGTGTGCCGGAGGGGTTGGGCGGGCAGGAAGCTGTGCCAAGGGCCCTTCCGCGTCCAAGCCAGGGAGTCGCGGCTTGGAGCGCCACGGGAGTTTGCCGCTTTCCTCAGCCGGGAGAAGGGCTCTGCGGCTCGCTCTGCAACCGTTCTCCCCTCCGCCCGCGGCCTCTTCATGTGCGTCCAAAGACTGCAGGGCTGGGCTTCCTGAAGGCGCTTAAGTGCGCTGCCTGGCACGGTGCTGGTGGCGGGGGCTGAGGAGCGGGCGGCGTGTCCGTGGAAGGGGGCGCAGTTGGACGTGCTTGGCCCACCGTTGTGCTGGCCCCATTTTTTCTGCTCCCATTGAAGGCAGCTGGAATTTGGGAGGCGTGATAGGAAGCAGGGGATTTTGCATGCCGCACAGTTGTTGGCTCCAGAATAATTTCCTGTTTCTGGCAGTAATAGCTACCCTTTCTCCTTATGACCATGAGGGCTAGAATCCTTTTAACTCATAATAGCAGAACGTCTGAAAATGCTGCTCAAACTCCTGCGGTGCCTCAGAGTCCAGCTCTTCCCCCAGCCCATGAGCTGCAGGAGTGTGTGTGTGCAGGGGGAGCTCCTTCCCCCAGAATTTCCTTCCCCATGAACTTGTCTTAGGCACGAATCTCAGTGGCGGGAGAGTGATCTCCTGGCACTTTGTCCGGATGACGGCTGAGCTGCTGCCCCTCCAGTGAAGGCCCCGCTCCTCTTCTGGCTGGGCTCTGCTCCTGCCACCCCTTTGGGCTTTTGCAGGCACTTGGAACAGCCCCGCCCTTTCTGCGTGCCTCAGTCTCCCCAGCTGTATACTGGGGATAACAATCCTGACCTTCCGAGTAGGAGGGCAGGAGGATGCTTAAGTCATGCCCGTTGCGCTGGGGAAGCTGAGGAGGGACTTGAAACCATCGGATGGCAGCAGCGAGCCTGGGCTGGGGCCGGCAGTCCTGAGCTGGGGGCACCAGGGCTGTGCCCGCAGCAGGCTGCCTTCCCCCACTGGAGCTTTGGCAAGTGCCGGCCGCTCTGGCCTCCGCTTTCTTCCCACCCCACCTGCCGCATGGGGGTGAGAACAGCACCGACCGCACAAGCAAGCGCGAGCAGCCGCGAGCGACCCTTCCGGTGAGCAAACCTCTTCGGCGCAGCAGACAGTCCAAAGAAGACCCCCCTCTCCTCCCAGCCAGCTGTCCTTCCAGGGAGGGGCGGGGGACACAGTGGGAAGGGCTCTGGGGGACTCGGGGCGGGAGGGGTCACCCGGGGGTTGGCAGTAGCTCCAGCTGTGCTGGGCGACCTCTGGCCGGTGTTTCAGGCCCCCCGCGCACTGCCCGCCTGTGCTTTGACTCCAAGCTGGCGCCTCTGCAGCCTGCCTGTGCCAAGGCCTGGTGAGAGAGCGGCCAGCCCCCCTCCCACTGCCCCCTCCTCTGTGGGAGGCCCCCCTGCCTGGCTGGCCCCTTTCCTCCTGGGGTGCTGCAGCCCACAGCTCCCTGCAGAGGTCCTCCTCCAAACTGGATGGGGCCATCCTGCCAGGCCTGGCTAGGAGTCAGGCTTGGCTGGCTGGGGAAGGGGCCCTGGCTGCATCCCTCTGGCCCCCCTGCCCCAGGCTCCACCCAGGGGCCGCCTGGGCTCGAGGGACAGAATGCAGTCGTCTGGCTTGGCGCCTGCCGCCGCCTCCCGCCTGCCCTCCCCACCCAGAGAAGCAGCTGGCCGGCCGGCCGGGGACACCCGGCCGCTGTCTGCATGAGCACCTGCATGGCAGGGCCGGCGCAGAGGCTGGGCTGAGCACGGGGTGCCTGGGCAGCCGGCGTGGCCCTCGGGACCTCTCCTTGCACTTGAGCTGTAGTTGGCATCCCGCCTTGAATGCAATAACAGACGTTTATATTTCCTGCTGTGACTCCTTGGATTGCTCTTCTTTGTGGGCGAAGGCTCCCGAGATGTGTCTGCTTGCGTCGCCCTGCATGGGAAGCCCCCACAAGCCGAGGTGCCCCCGCCGCCCAGCAGCCGTGCTTTTCTGGAGCAGCCCAGCTGTGGCGCCTCTGCCCATCCCAGGCCCCCTCGTGCTGTTGTGCCAGGAGTGGCGAGAGAGAGGCCCCCCTGCGTACGGCTGGCCCTCCTCGGCGTGCCCTCCCAGGAGGCCGGCCCCAGGCCTGCCCTCTGCCCAGGCAGGCGTGGGCTCAGCCGCCGGCCGTCCTGGCCCAGCGCGGAGCTCCATCTCGGGCCAGGTGATCGTGGCAGCTGCTCCCGTGGCCGGTGCCGGGTCCCACGCAGGCAGCCCCCGCGTGCAGGAGCAGGGTAGACAAGGCGCAGTGTGTGGGGGCTCCGGGGCTCTGCTTCCTGCCACGCAGCAGCACAAGCCGTTCCCGAGGTGGGTGCAGTCCAGCTTCAGGGCTCTGATGGAAGAGGAGAAGCCGTCTTCGCCCAAGGCTAGGCAAGAACCCCCTCCCTGAAAGATCCCTTTCCCACACCGTGGCCCCCACCCACTGCCCCCGGTCCGGCGGCTGCTGGAGATCCCGCTGGGGCCTGTGACAACGCACCCCATTCGCCACCACTGCTCTTCATGCATGGATGGCCTACCACTGTCTTGGGGGGGGGGGGTATCTGCCCTGCCCAGTTGTGACCTGCCCACAGCCTCTCCCCTTGACTGCACCTGGTAGGTGTCTGCCGCATCGCAGGTGTGGGTGCTGATGAGCGCCACCTGCCTGCAGCAGAGGCCAGGAGAGGTCACCTGAAAGCTGGAACCTCGTTCTGCGCTGGCTCTGCAGTCAGGGGAGACTTTGAGGAAGGGCTGGAGCTGTGCTGCCTGGAGGCAAGTATTCCCGGGCAGTCGGGTGGCCCTGGTCCCACCAGGTATGGCCAGAAGGGCTTCCCGGGGGCTCAGAATCGTAGGGCTGGAAGGGGCCAGGAAGGCCATCAGGTCCCACCTGCTTCTGTCGCGGGTTACACCATCCCAGCCTGTCCCAGGCTGGGTCCCCTCAGGGCCCTGCTCCACCCCAGCCTGCAGCACCCTGGGGAGGCCCCCGTGGTAGGGCATCCGCAGTCTGTTCATCTTCACAGGCTCGCCAACTTTCCGCTGCGGTTGGAGGCAGGCCTGTGGTTGCTTGGCTGGGACAACAGGATTGGGAGGGGCCCTTGCCTGCCTGCTTCTCTCTTTGGGGAGCTGCTCCCCGAGGGGGGCAGCGCAGGAGCTCTGGGGCAAAAACACTTGCCCCATTGGGAGCAGTGGCTGGCTTGATCCAAAGCAAGCTGGAGCCACAGCCCAAACACTGGGCAGGCACCCCCCAGCGGAGACGTTGCGCTCACAGGCCTCGTTTCCCTGCAATGATGGGCGGGGGGGAGGGGGGAGATTCTTGTCCTGCTGAGTCCCCGTAGTCCTTGCCTTCTCAGTGCCTCCCTGGAATCCTCTGCGTGGCAATGCCCCCCCCACCCCGCTTGCTGGCCCCGGTGCTGCAGGCTGGCCTGCCACAGCCATGTCTTGATGGACCACTGCCCAGAGCCCGCGGTGACCTCGGCCACGGCCGCAGCCCCATCTGGAGGGCAGGCAAGGCAGTCGCACTCTCTGCTGCTTCTGTCTTTTTCCTGGCCTCGGGAGAGGAGGAGAAGGCAGAGGGGCTGTGCCAGGGCCGCCACGTTGCTCCTGCTGCAGCAGTTCAGCGGGGGGGGGGGGGGCTCCCCAGGCAAGTGAGGCAAAATCTGCTTTTCCAAGAGACCCCCCGCTCTGCCTTAAGAACCTTTTGCCCAGGGGGGTGGGGGGAGAGAGATTGAGAGAGAGCGAGAGAGGAGACTAGCAGCTGTGCTGGATCAGCCTGCACAGGGATTCTGCAGCCGAAAACTGCAGCTGGGGCTGCAGCGCTTGCTGTCAGGCTGCCAGCCCCAGGCTGCAGCGTGGAGAAGCAGCAGCGGGGCAGGGCGCCCCAGAGGGTGGGAGCTGCGTCCCAGCGGGCGAGCAGGGTGGCTCTCCTCTGCCTGCCTCCTCCTGGCCCGAAGGGAGCATGTTCCGGGCTGCACCTTGAACAGAAAAGAGGTGCCAGGGAGCTGCCTCTGGGCAACCTGGGCTTGGCTTATGGGGCTTGGGGTGGCCTCCAGTGAAGCTGAAAGCTGGGGAGCCCAGGGTAGGGAAGAAGGTCTCCCCAGAGATGCGGAGGGGAAATTGCTGCTTCCCAGTATGAAAGCACTTCTTGAAATTGGGGTCCTGCAACAATTGGGGGTTGGACCCGAGGGCTTTCTCAGCCCCTTCCAGCTCTACCCTTTGGCGAATCAGTGAGGTAGCGGCGCCACTGACCGGATGACTTGCAAAAGGTTCGTTGAGTAGAGGCAGTAAGCTCTGCGGCTGTGGGTTGCAACAGCTGCCGATTAATCCAGCACTGGCTGGCAGCAGCGTCCAAGCCCTCTGTGTACGGGTGGCCAAGTGGGAGGCTGTGCTTGCGCTCCTGTTGTTTGTGGACCCCAGGCTGCCCCTTTTGCCATCAGTGGCTCCGTGCGCAAAGCGGGAGGCGGCTACTGCACTTCTGTGACAGTGGAGTGTAGGACCGCCCGGCCTGCCGCTCTTTCTGGCCAGGTGTTGCAGCCTGGCCAGCGTCTCCTTCCAACGCCCCCACCTCGGGGCAGTCGAGCAGCTGCCGGGTGCGCGGGTGCCGTGCAGCTCCTTGGGCCAGGTCCAAACGGCTCTGATCCTTTCCCTGACTATGGAGCTGTTCCCACCTGGCTCATCGTTCGCAAGCACGTGGCCGGAGATGGAACCAGGCATAACTGTGAGGAGCACCCCCTCAGACGGGCCCGCAGATAGCCACGGATGGCAGAGTGGAGCCTGGTGGCTGCCGGAGACGTGGGCCGGAGCCTCTGGCCGGCCACCTGGCACGGACCCAGAGCCATGTGGAATGGCCCTCTCCGGATCTGTGTGGCCAGCCATGGAAGTGCAGGCCACAGCACTGGCCTAGGCGGTTAGTTTGCTCCGGGCCTGCCCTGCCGTCACCAGCTGGGGTTGCCTGCTCAGCCTTCCTGTTCCTTCTCAGTCTTGCCTGAGCCGCAACGGCTTCCTGAAGGCTGGCAGGTTCGATCGACCCCTTGGCCCCCCCGCCCTAGAAGAGAGCAGCAGCAGCCTGGTGTGCTGCTCGTCCGAAGGGCCCAGTGCCGCTTCGGGCACCTCTCCTTCCGCCTGGCCACGGGTCCTTGTTGCCTCCCATTCCCCTGCCCCAAATCCCAGCGCGGCCCTGCTGGCCGCGCAGGACTGCCCTGTGGGTCTTTGAAAGAAGAGGGGCTTCCTTGCCCTTTGCCTGGGGACCATTCCCGGAGCAGCTGCCGTGGCCCCTCCAAGAGGCTCAGCCCCAGAAGGCTGTGTGACAGCGCTGCAGCGTGCGGAAGCATCGCTCGGTGGCCACTTCCTGAGAGTCTTTACGTCACATGCACACCGACTTCCTCCAGCTCTCCCACCGCGAGTTATTTTGGGGAACATGAAAGGCTGAGGAAGTTCCAGGCCGGCTCTACAGCTCCTTCTTAAGAGAACTTTGCAGATGTGACTTTGTCTGCAAGAAGCTGCACCCACCATTCAGAGTGGTCTTCCTCAACCGTGCTCTGGAGCCCCCAGCCACCTCATGCGGATGCCCTGCGGACTCAGCCACCTCCCACCATGACACGGGGCGATGGCCACCGCTTGGACAGCTTGGGGGGCAACTGGCCGGCTGGCATGCCAGGCAGCAGCAGGGCCACAGCCTCCAGACGTGGCGCTGAAAGAGGCCACCACTCGCTTTGGGGGCTGTGGCTCACACCACCCGAGAGGGCCTCCTGCTAGAGCCCACCCTCCAGACGGCCCCCCCGCCAGCCCACGCCCAGCCAGCCCACCCCCCAGCAGCCCACCTGCCAGTGCTTCCACCCCAACACCAAGTGAAAAGTGGCGCATCCGTTTATTAAATAAACTGCAAGGCACAGGTAAAAATCTTTCACTCTCCAAGTAGCTAGCAAGCCAGCTAAATAAATAGATAGATAAATAAATAAATAAATAAACACGATCAGTTTATACACAAGATTTCAGAAGTCTGGCGACTTTCCGGCTATCCAGGCCACTGCCGCCAGCACCTCCACCGTTCTCCCCCAAGGATGTCCCCAATGTCCGCTTAAAGGAAACATGGCAATTCGTGGCACAGACAGGCTGTGCAGTGGCTCTTGAGGGGTGAGGCCTGGCACGGGCTTGTGCCGAAGAACTACAGCTCCCATTCATGGTAGTGGCCAGCCTCCCTTCGTCCAGTGCTCCCACCGTGGCGTTAGCTGCCGTGGGTCTGCAGGGCTGGTGGACTCACACCCAGGGTTCATCACCCACTTCAGCATTCCTCCCTGTCCTCACGGGCCTCGATGGGGCCACTTGGGCCCTGCCAGCTGCCCTCCGGCTTTTCAGGGGCACTGCCCCACTCCGCAGGCCCCCCACCGGTGACACGGCTCTCCCAGTCTTCTCCCCGGGGGGCTGGCCAGCCCGCTCACGCCCAGGGCTCCGGGAGGGCCAGGGCACTGAGGTCCAGGCCCGGCTGGGTGCTGCTCAGCCACGGGTGTAGAGAGGGGAGAGCCGTTTCCTGCTCCACAAAGCCCAGTGCCTGAAGGGTCACGGGGAACTCCAGGGCCCCCAAGACACCAGGGGACAGGCTCCCCGGCATGTGTGCTGTCCTCCAGTCCACTTTGTCATGAGCGTCCTCGGCGGAGGACATGCCCCCAGGGCTTGTGTGGGCACCAAAGGAGGCTTGCTTCAGGTAGCCAGTGGCCAAGCTGGGCTCAGAGGCCGCCGTCTCCCCTGTGCCGGAGGGATCCACGGAACAGCCCAAAACCTCCAGGGGGCTTCCCGACTGCTTCTGGTATCCAGAGAACTGTACCTGGGGTGGGCACATGGGTTGCAGCCCCTCCTGCACACCGCAAGGCCCCTGCAGCTGCTGCTCCTCCGCACAGGCCCCTTCCTGGAGGCCGCTGTGTCCCCCGCTGTCCAGGCACGGCTTCCTGCCACCCCAAAGCTGATTCAGGCTGCCCGAGGGCTCCTGCAGGCAGATGCCGCTGTCCGTGCTGCAGCTGCTGCTGTCCATGAGGTCCCCCACCCCGTCGCCCTCTGCGGGCCACTGGGAAACCCCGCAGCTTTTCCCCAAAGGTGAGGGCGGCAGCGATGATCCCAGGCCGTGGATCCTGCTGCTGCAGTCCTTCAGAACCACGAAGGAGAGTTGCTGGACGGCCTCCGCCTCTACCCACAGGACCACGTCTTTCACCCCCGTGGGCCGAAGCTCACTCCGCAGCCAGGGGGAGCTGCACTTCAGCAGGGATTCCTGGCAGCCAGAGAGAGGAGAGGGGGGTTGTGGCTTCCTGGCCTCTCCCACGCAACGCATGCATCTACAAAGCAGGTGCCCTGCCGGCCACTCCCGGAAGGCCTTCGAGAAGCCAACGTGATCTGAGGAGACTTTGCCCCATTTCCTCCCCGCCCCAGTTCTCCACCACTAACTTGGAACCCCACCCGGAAGAAGGCAGAAGGCTGGCAGTGGAGCATCAGCAGGCCGGGGCCTGAGGCTGACCTGGTTCAGCCCACCTGCTCGCCGCCTCCGCTGGTCAGAGTGAGGGCTACGCGCACACCGCTCTTCCTCCGCCCCAGCTCCCATCAGCAAAGTGGGGATATGAGCACTTTCTTCATGGGAGCAGGCTGCCGGGCATCATCCAGGCTTGATGGTGCCAGGAGAAGGGCGGGCAGTGCTTCAGACCCCGAGTCAGCAGGTGGGGAGAGCAGGCCGGCATGCAGGGGGATCTCCCCTGGGAACAGAGCAGCTCCCAGACTGTGCTGGCAGCTTCCCCGCAGGGGCTTCTGTGCCGAGGGACCTGCCCTGGGATCCTGGCAGCACGTTGCGAGGCCCGCCCTGGCCCGGCCCACCAAGCCCTGGAGAGCAAGTGGCGGCTGATCCCGGGCAGGGGCACTCACCAGCACATGCGGGGTCTTTGTGGGCTTCTTCACGTAGGCACAGGCCAAGCCGGAGCCCAGGCCCAAGATGCCGATCGCCATCAGACCGAGGAGGGACACCCCAGACGCGGCCAGGGCGCTCCCCGCGTGGTCTGCAAAGGAAGAGGGTCGTTTACCGGGTGGACCATTCGGCCTTGGTGTCATGGTGCAGCCGCGGCTGCTGAAGGGGTGCGCTCCCGCTTCGGAAGCCAGACCGGCTGGAGGCAGCTGCTGCTTGCGGGGCTGCCGGCGGCACTCGGGCAGCAGCCGCTGGGCACGTGTGGCAAGCGTTGTGTGTTCCTGCTGAGCGGCCAGTTTGCCGCAGGGCATAGAGTGCGATGGGCTGTGTCACCCGGATCTGTGGGTCAGCCAAACTGCAAGCCATGGCTTGCCAGGGTGGCTCGTGCTTCCAAAATAAGCCATCCTGAGATGCCCCATGAGAGCCCAGCCAGGGCCAAGGTGTGGCCCCCTGGGAGGGGCATGGGGCGCTGGAGGAGCAGAGCCAGCTGGGGGTCAGTGGCAGGAACAGGGCCGCTCTGCCGCTTCGCAGCGGCTCTTCTGCTGTGCCCCCTGCGGCGGATCTCGAAGTCCTGCAGCAGCACGGGCAGTTCGTGCCCAGCGGGGACAGAAGACGCCCTGGCCATGGGGGCGGCCACCTCACAGGGAAGGGCTGCAGCTCCTTGCCGGGCAGAAGGCCCCAGCTGGGAAAGTGCCGCTGGCAGCCCTGGGGAGCCGCTCCCGCCAGTCACACACGCAGAGCTGGCCCTTCGGAGGGCCATGCGGGGCTCTGCGCCTTGTCTGCGGACAACATGCTTGGGAATCCTGTGGCAGAGCAGCGGTGGGGGCCGACTGGAGCGCTGGGGCCAGGGAGGCAGTCGGCTGGAGGGGACGGGGCTTCACCTGGCAGGGCTGGTATCAGGATGCACTGCTCCTCCGTCCGCTCGGCGGGGTTTGGCCGAGAGACGACGCGCGGCTCGACACTGATGCAGTAACGCTCGCCTCGCAGCAGTGCTGGCAGGTCGAATTCCAGGCTGGTCGCCACATGCAGGGACTGCGGGGCCAAGTGAGGACAGTCAGGCCAGCGAGGTCTGGGCTCACAGGCCGTGCTGAGGGCTGGCCAACCAGGGCACCTGGCCAGAAGCAGGGTGCTGCTGCCCCACACTGAGAGCCTGAGCTGGCTCGTTCCCCCACACCCGGTGCCCCTTAGTGACTGCCCCACAGTCCGTCCGCCTGGGCAAGGGCCAGCTAGGGCTCCCCTGGAAAGAGAGGGGCCCCTTGAGACTGGGCCCAAGGCAGAGCAGCAGGGAGTGGGGCAGGGGCCCACCAGCCCAGCTGCGGGGCAGCCTGCTTGGCCCCCCAACCCCCCGCAGCCTCACCCAGGCACCACTGGAGACCGTGCGAATGTGCACATGGTATTCCCTCTGCCAAGGGTGGCTGTCCTCATAGGTGATGTTGTCCCATGGGCTGGCAGGCAGCTGGAGAGACACGTGTATGGTGCAGCCACTGACGGACAAGCTGACGTTGGACAAATGCAGAGTTGCTGGGGAAGCAAGCAAGCAAGGAAGGGTTTGCGGGGAGTTCTGGCCTGGAGCCGCCTCGTCTGCATGATTCCTTGAGACCTGGCAAGTGGGGCGCCTGCACTGCATCGCTGTCCCTCCCTCCGCATCATCTGCGCATCCTCAGAGAAATGGGGGCCCTTCTCTTTCCCTTGTCGAGGTTGGCAGCCCGGCTCTCTGGGAGAGGCAGAGGTCAGGCGACCCTCCCTCACGGCCTGGCCCCCTCAGGGGCCCCTGCACCCCGTGGACGCCCAGTGGGTCGGGTGCTTGCCGGGACCACGTGCGGGGCGGGGCGGGGCGGGGCGTGCGCGAGGCGCCTCGGTGCCCCGGGAGGGCGCCTACCTTGCCTGGGCTGCAAGACGGCGGGCGGGGTCCAGCGGGAGGCGCGGCTGCCGGCCACCGCCCGGACGCGGGCCAGGTAGCGCTGCGCGGGCTTCCGCGTCTCGTAGGAGAGGTCGCAGGAGCAGCAGGCGACGCGCGTGCAGCTCGGCGCGGGGGTCCAGCTGCCGTTGCCGTACCTGCCGGAGGAGAGCAGCGCGCCTTAGCCCGGGCGCAGGGGGGCGGCAGGCCGAGGCCGAGGCCGAGCGGGCGGGGATGCCGGCAGCGCCCCCCGACCCCCGACCCCAACGCGAGGGGGCTCTTACTGGCGGTACTCGACGTCGTAGCGGAGGCTGTTGCTGGGAAGGGGTCCCGCGGCCGGGGGCGCCCAGCGCAGCAGGTGCTGGAAGAGGCGGGCCTCCTGGAAATGCGCGTTCGCGGGCGGCGCCGGGGCGCCCCTTCCTGCAACGACAGGCAGCCACGGCGGTCGGTCAGGGCGCCGCTCCGGACCCGCCGGAGCGCCGGGCCGCGCGGAAGGAGCCTCTTCCCAGCTCCCCGCGCGCGCCCCCGGCTCGGCCC